TCACCAATGAAGCTTCGGAAATTTGCAAAGAAAATTCATACATTTTGTGTTACCAAAAAAAATCCGTAAAAATTTTAAATTTTGGTGTGAATTGGAGTTATCCAGATACTGAACAGGTTGGTATGAATCGTTCCTCAGGAATCCTTATATACTTGTGAACTTCATTCAGATATATTTTTCTCTTAAAAGAAGTATAATTTCAAAAATAACTTGAAATTTACATGGTCTGATAATACACTTACGGAAAAAGCTTGCTGAACTGCAATAGACCAATCCAGCGACCTGTCAAAACGAATGCAATATGGCGGCGTAGGGCAAACATTGTATTTTATCATATGCGACCATAGTAATTATTTTTTCTTTTTCTGATTTCCTGTGCGTATTTCCGTTGTGTTTTTGAATTTTAATAAATAATTAGTGCTTTAACTAAAGGGAAATGCCCATTACGTGCATTGTGGTTGGCTGTGGATCTCGTAACAACAGGGATAAAGTCGGGTTTACTCTGTTCTTACAGTTTGAAAACACAAGTTTTTAACTAACGTTAAAAACTTGTTTAGTGAAACGTAACGTTTAGTGAAAACTACTTGATAATATACATATTATTTTCAAGCTAACCTGCTTCTTTAGAGAATGGGTTCCTTCGCAGAACACGGGACATTCAACACAAAATGTTCGAAAGACTTGTAAAGATGTTGAAAGAAAAGCGAGGTTCGATTAAAAAAAATTATCTCAAGTGAGTGGTGTTGTTTCAGGTGAAATACTTATGTATCAACATGATTTTGAAATGTATTTTGTTGACAGAATGAAACCGTCTTATATGGATATTGACTTTAATAATGATGAACCTAGAGATGGACAAGAAACAGGTATTTTAATAAACTCACAATCCATTTCATGTACCTACTGGTACAATTGGGAACGTCTGTGTCATGGATGGCATTGGCCACACAGCTTCTATATCTGTGCATGACATGTACATACGCTTCCATCTTTTGCTATGATGCACCAAACATCTAAAGGTTTCGCATTTGCTTTCTGTGAATGCTTGACCTGAAAATAAGTTATTAAAATTAGTATCTACTGTAAGAATCACTCTGGAATTTTCAAATGAAAAATTGAATCATTCTCTTGATCAACAAAGAAGACAATAAACATAACAAGTCACGGATATATCTGATTGTGGATGCACACAGTTTCACTTGTATCGCTTCTTAGATGAATTAACTATACCATTAGGAAATTAGAAAGTTAGTATACTGCTAGCTTAGAAAAACTCATCTGTCCAACTAAAATGTATAAATTGTTCTCAATCTATGTTCCCACCTTCATAACGAAGCCAGATTCGAAATATTTATACAATTCCAAACCTTTATATGCCTTCATCTGCACATGCGAATAAAAACTGTGGGTAAAAACCAAATACGAAGCAATATCCACACATGTAACTGGAGGAACACCATCAATTGAATAATCCAGATTAGAAACATTCAATGACAAAGGGTCTAAACCATTGACCAATCTCAACTTCATTATATATCTGTAACACAATGATAAAAATGTAAACCAGATGATGGTGTATTTTTTCGAACATACCGTTTAGCAACGTCTCTGCTGTTCAGCAATAGTGATTTCAAGTATTCACTTTCCATTTTGATTGAATTTAAACACCACAAACGCTCAAAAAATGTGAAAAAACACTTCACAATAGCGAACGACACCAAAACCAATGATACTCTTATGACAATAATTAGATTGTTTCCCTACGCCGCCATATTGGGTCACGTGGTTTGGATTGCTCTATAAATACGGAAGAGATGACAGGACAAAGAGTGAACGACTTTTTCTGCAGTATAGCTGAAAATACTATTGGGGTTTTTTTCTATCTGCAGAATTAGTCCCACTAGAAATACAGGTCTGTTTCTGACTTACAGGGGGGTCAAGTTTTCTTTGGAACACCCTGTATATCCCGTTTATCTCCCCAATTTTCAACGTGAACCCATTACGAAAAAACGATTTATTTTCTCCTTGTTTCCATTTTAAGCTAGTAACGACTTTTGGATTTGTTTTGCGTTTCTTGTTTAACAAGTACAATAGGTATTTTTCTCCACAAACATTTCGGCTCATTTCGTTCTATTGTGAAGATTATCAATATACAATGAATGTCCTGAATTCAGTGTATCAGATCCACAGGATTCATCACTTATTATAAATTTCTGCGCCAATCCATCAGCTTCACTTAATATGTATAGTTTTATACCATACTTATGGCGTTTATTTTTAATAAACTGCATGTCCTCGCCATAGAACCATTGATTCATCACGGGAGAGCTCTTTTCCTGGACAATAAATGAATTTCATCTTCCTATTAAAATTATCCATATTTCCTAATCGATCGTTGAAGTTATAGTCATATAGAGCAGTTATAAACGCATAGCAATGATCATGAATCCAAAACCAGTCAAACCGTATCCCCTCATTGAATTCATAAAACCAATTTTTCAATTAAACCAGTGGTGTCGTTTTTAACGGCAACACCCGTATAAATTTCGGAAATGCTCATACAATTAATTGAAACCTATACTCACTTCAAGCCGCGATTCAGTATAAATAATGAAACGTTTTATTCATGAAGCCGAAAGTTTCATGGATAACCTTCAGAATGAAATCCATAATAATCAGTTGATTAATAGTTTTTTATACCGGCACAGATATGTAGATGATGCAGATAGGCAAAGGCAGTTGGTCAAGTTTGTTGAATATGACAATTACATCATCCATTAATTAAATTCACCACAGAAATGGCAGTAAATAATTCAATGAATTTTCTAGTCCTGAAAATTATTAATAAACATGATTTTGTGATTTTCCACAAACCATCTTATAAGGACATTATCATAGATAAGTAGCAGCAATCAATAGTACAGCATTCTACTGTGCCCCAGTTTTCTCAGAGCCCCTTAAGACTCTTGAGAAATGACCCCTCAAGCACCCTAACGACCCTGAGAGATGTACTTTGACCTGGCAGACCAGAGCATCCAGAGGGACACAAAGTGTTCCCAGTGGGCTCCAATGACTAATGGACCTTTTGACCCGGCAGACCAGAGCATCCAGAGGGACACAAAGTAATATGTCCAGTGGGGTCCAATGACTAATGGACCTTTGACCTGGCATCCAAAGGAACACAAAGTAATATGTCCAGTGGGGTCCAATGACTAATGAACCATTAGTCCATATCATATCACTTTGTATCCCTCTGGAGGCTAGGTCAAAGGTCCATTAGTCATTGGACCCCACTGGACATATTAATTCATGTCCAATGACTAATGGTCGACTAGTTATTGGACCCCACAGGACATATTACTTTGTGTCCCTCTGGATGCTCTGGTCTGCCAGATCAAAGGGTCCATTAGTCATTGGACCCCCAATCAACCTACGCTTCACAGCATACTATTGATTACTGCCTGAGTAATATTTTTTTCATTAAGGTCCAATAAAGAATATTAATATGAATACCCCCATATTGTTTATAAATGACTATACCATCATAACAATTTATGACTAAGCAAGCAGGATATTGAAGTAATTTCAGATATCAGTCATAATGTATATTTATATTTGCACACAAGACGTTCATTCTTGTCAACATTCATTAAGTGTAACAAATATTCTAAAATAAAATATTAAAAAATCCATCACCGGCTAATACCACGCTGGATATTTTTACAATACAATACAACACATTTATTTCCAAAAAGACCTGTAAAGTACAAGTGTTGGATAATATAAAAAAAAGATGCTATATTTAATGGACTAGAACAGGGGAAAATATTGATAAAAACAAATAAAAAAAATCATACACAAAAAAATCGTTTTAAAAATTCTAACAATCAAATAATCCTTTAATGGAATAAAATGCATGGTAGGTAAGGCGACTTTTTAACATAAACTTGAAGTTGTCATAACTATTATAATTTTTCAGATCGGTTGGTAGCTTGTTGAATAGTTAAGCACGTAGTACTACAGGACTATGTGAAACCAGCGTTAATCTGTGACTGGGGATTTCCAAATACTTTCGATGGAATTGATAGGGTATTGAATCGTAACGTGAAATAGAAAATCTGATAGATTCTCTCTGGCATGTAAAATACTGTTCAAAATATATAAACACGGCATATTCAAAAAGTTAGCATTTATAAATAAATGGTGACAAGAATATTGTTTAGTCGTAATCGAAGATGATTGTGGACACTAACAATCGAAACAGTCGTGAAGTAACTTGGCTTGGAATCTTTTAGTATTGTTTAAGTTAAAACGACATTGTTCTTATTATTCTTTTTGTATCATGAAAACTTCCTTACATCTAGTGCTGTTTCCTCAACACAGATTTACGTAGTTAAGGCATGATTGTTCGTAAGCGTAGTAATATAATTTAAGTAGCCCAAATGAAACCTGCGTACAGAGTTTCCATACGACAAAACAGCACACCAACATCAGTTCACGTAGAATATAATCTATTTGATTCAACAAGTTAAGTTGTGAGTCTAAGTAAACTCCTAAGTACTTAGGGACGCCTTTTGTGCGATTGAGTTTTCGTGAACGTGTACCAAAAGGTTGCTATTCAAGTCCTTCAATGAGAATACCATTATTTTTGTCTTTTTATCATTCAGTACTATTTTATTACTGTTGCAATAATATTTCATGGAATTGACGATCTCATTTAATCTTAAACTGAGCTATGGGGGATTTATTGGAAGTGGATGATATCGCGTCACCAGTAAATAATACTAGATAATCTCTGGCAAATAGAGGAAAAATATTGATGAGTTATAAATAATAGTGGGGCCAGGAGACTGCCTTATGGGACACCATTCAGAGAGAGTTTTTCAATGTGATTTGTAGATTTTTGAATTGATACGTGAGTAATTCTGTTTTTTGATGTCTGTGGAGTAAGAAGGAACTGAACCAAAACAATGAAATGCCCCTGATACCAACACATTTTATGAAATGAAATACTTTATTCAAATAGGGTACATCATCCTAATAATATATAACAATTATATAACAGTTACATACTTATAAACACAATAATAAAAAAATCTACTAATATTTGTTAATAAGTACTACCTACAATAATTAAATATCCAAAAAAAAAACACAATAATTTGGTATCACCTTAATGGTCTCTAAAATGGTTTAATAAATTCCTTTTAAACAGAATGAGACTGGTATTAATGAGATAACCATTCTAGAGATATAGGGGTACTCCTGTCACATCTCAAAATAATCCATATTGCGCGATTCTGAAGATTCTGTAGTGTTCTCATTTTATTTAAATCAGTTGTGTATAGAAGAGTGAGACAATATTCGAAATGTGGTTGTATAATGTTCTCAAGTATACATTGTTATTCGTGATTGCATAGTTAAGTGTTGAGACACTCTTGCAAAGAAATATAATTTTTTCAATTTTTGTTCTGTATTTGATTAAAATGGTTACACAATGATAAATGCTTGTCCAACATAAATCCTAGATATTTAAATTTACTAATAAGCTCCATTTTGTCATTTTCTATTTTTATTTCAATTCAATTTAAATCTAATTATCTGAACTTAAACAGTGTAGTTGACATTTAGCTTCAATTTATTAGTTTTTTGATATGTAGCAATATCATTGAATGCTTTATTAATTTTTTGACTAGCTTAATCTATATATTTATCACAAATCGATACTGGAGTATCATCAGCAAAATAATGTTCATAATCACATTCATAACATTTGCTAGTATTATTTATGTAGATTAAAAATAGCAATGGCCCTAGAATACTTCCCTGCGGTACCCCATGATCTACGCTTATTGCTGTTGAAAGAAACTCATTAATTTTGGTTGCCTGCTTCCGTTGTATAAGGTAATCACTAATCCAATCAGGTACTCTTCCTTTTATGCCATATTTTTTTCAATTATTATTTCATGATTAACAGTTTCAAACGCAAGTTTCAGTTCTACAATCAATTAAGGACTTACTGTTATTAATAATTCTTGTAAAAGAAGGAACAAAACAATCGTGTTTATCTACTGTTTATCACTGTTCATCTAGTTTCTTCAATAGCAGATGTATATCAATCACATCAAAAGCACAACGCAAATCAAAGGATATGCAAGCCGTGGCTTCTATGTTATCTGAGTTTGAGAGAATTTTTTTTATAAAGAGATAATAGTCCCTGTCGAAAACAAAATTGTTTATCATCAAAGAAGTTGATAGAATCCAAGGATAGTAATCGTTTATAGAATGCTCTTTCAAATATCTTTGATAAGACGGATAAAAGAGCAATAGGTCTATAATTATTTGAGTTATGGACGTCATCTTTTTTATGCACTGGTAGAATAATGTCCTTTTTAAAATATCAGAAAAGGTATCTTCTGAGAAAGACAAGTTCACCAAGAAGGTGATTGGTTACACACCCCTGCGTGGGACATGCTCATTTTTCTTCTGAATGAGGTTCATGGGGCTGTATGTGTTTTTTAATATGTTATTTGTGAAAACTAATGATTAATCAGTTATATAGAAATCAGACTCAGACGCCTGCTGGCATTCTACTGAATATGCAGATGATGTGTTTGTAGGTAAAAACAAAATTAAATGGAATTACATTTGCTACATTTGGTCAAAAACATGATAGAACTCTATTCGATTTTTCGGTGAAAATTACTGAAACATTGCTCATCATACAGACCTGGTTTTATCTGGTCGTCTTACATTCACACTCACTTATTTGTGATGTACTGCCGGAACAATAGTCTACTTCGCCACAAAACAACAGGCCTGATTATTGTCTACTTCAATCACATTTAAAGTTGTCTTGAAAAGTTTTAAAATTCACGAAATTTTGAAACACCCAAAAACCTTCTTGAACAATGCTATTTAAATGTGCAGACTGCAATATAACCACATCTGTCTATTGCGGACTTAATACTAACACATTTATTTATTTACGGCAATGCCTATTTTTTACAAAATCCCAATGAGAGAGATATACAAAGTGTAATGGCCGGATGCCGCCGCTTGGCATCTATCGCACTGAATGTCTTAACATCCTTCAACCACTGAAGTCACTCCTCAACTTCAGATGTAGTGTTCACAGTGTTGACCATAGCTGCTAAATCTCCTTCTCCACTTGATGCTCTCAACCGCTCTCTGATGAGTTCAGCAATAGCTTTTTGAGTCTTATGTTCCAGCTTCTCCAACTTTTTGGCTACGTCCCTTTTTAGATCCCAATCTGGTTTTCTAGGTGCTAATGAGGTAACATCAAGCTGATCAATAACAATTTCAGATTTTGCGGATTCTAGTTGATCTTTTACCTGGAACAGAATTGAGATACTGGAGTAGTAATCTATTCAAACTATTCACAGATATGAAAAATGAGATATAAAACTTCCTTTGTTTTTTTATCACTTTTATTGGTAACTAATGTTACTGCAGTTTCATCCTACAAGGACATTTTCCAACAATTACAATAATACGACGAAACTGCAGTAACATTAGTTACATATTAAAGTGGTAAAAAACATAGAAAGCTTTATTTCTCAAATATCATGATGATCTGGTTACATCCATCAATTTATTTACAATTAATTTCATCACACCGATACATGTTTCAAAGAGTACCATAACTGAAGTAAAAATTTGAAGAACAATAAATATAGCCTCGAACAATAAAGATAGCCTAGATGGAAGAGGAACGTTTTGGAAACTGTTCCATGGAAAGACAAGCAATACAATAAAAAGAAAAAAGGTGAAAGCTCAATCTATGAAAAATCATAGTGAAAGTAAGCATAAATCATCAGTTGCAAGAAAATATTGTTGAAAATGCTGATTAGCAGTGATATATCATTGGAAACTGTAATTGAAAAAGCAAATAATGGAATGTGAGAGCATGAATTCTGCATATATGATTTAGCAACAGATTTGTCTGATTTAATTCTGAGAGAAAGACTGAGAAGCATTGTCTTGATGAGTGGAAAAATGACTGCATATTGTTGAGGATTGTTAAATTCAAGATTTTGGTGATTGAAATGAATGAGCACGAAATTTTCTTGGCATTTTGAGTGAAATAGTAAAAATACTATGATAATTTTTACATCGAATCACATAGACAACTTTATAGTCAATACTAAGTACGATTTTCATTTGTGATTACAAGGGTGATAACATGAAGAGTAATATTTCTCATCATCGTGAAGTAGAATTAGAAGTTTCAGAGATGCCTATGTGAAGTATGTGAAGAGAACTATTTCACACCATTGAAGTGATTTGATTTTGTACACAATTATTTATAAATTTTTCAACTCTACTCATATGTACAAATTCAAATTATTCAAACTGTTTAACTGATTTAATTTTCATTGACATATAAGTGATCCAAATAACACTGATATAGACTGGTTGAACACCAAAACTTATATAAAAAAATGTATGGAATCCAGATCCAACTGTATGCATCCAGGCTTCCAGAAGAGGTATCGACAATACAAGGCAGGTGGATATGCATACTAAGATTAGAATTCATATTCACAATTATGCGAAACAGCAGTGAATATCATGTAATGATCTATGCAGATGACTTAGTCATTCTGAATCAGGCCAAATATAGTAAGGGAAGGCACATGATTGAGTGACCGACTTTTGCGGCCGACTTAACTGATTTATCAGACGCCTATACAGAATGGAAACACTAAGTAAGAAAGGTTCAACATAAACCAATCCAAATCAACTACATTAACATTCACTAAGAGATCCAAGACAGAAGGACCATGCACTCTGCCACTCAGAGGTTGAGAGATACAACTTTCAGGAGCTAGACATTATATAATGGATTTGGGTTCCTTTTCTTACAACATACCTCTGATGTAACATCTCCAGGTTTAGTGGGATCCAAAACAAATTCTTGCAATGTTTCATGTGTCGGTTTGTAACTCCTGAAATGAGGTTTTGGTAAAGATAAACCATCTGCATTTGAGTTTTCAGAATTACTTTCAGATCTTATTTCCCGTTTTCTTTTAAGAGCTATCAATTTTTCTTTTCGTTTCAAGGCTTCATCTTCAGCATTTCCAATATTTGATTGTGCCGTTGACATCTTGAGTTTTTCTACCGTTTTATAACAATAAAAGTATTCCAAGCACTAACTAGACTCGACAATATATAATTAACATAAACATAAATAAATATAAATAGGTTATGTATGTCTTGCAGTGCTGCTAACGAAGCGAATAAAAAATCAGTACTGTCAACAATGTAAACGCAAAATGAATCCAGACCTCAGAGCAATAAAATACCAGACCACTGAAAAAAGAAATTAGCTAATTTCGTTGACTTTTGCCAATTTGTTTCGATGGAACATAGCGTTGTCGATATCAAAGGAACAAGACAAGTCCAGAGAACAAAATAGTTTAACTGAGAATATATTGACTTTCCTGTGCCACAGACAGACAGTATTCAATTTGTGACGCAGACTTAAATATTATCCTTGTTTTGTGGCCAGAATTTCCAATCTGCCTCAATAAATGAAAATATGGAAGGTAGAGGAAAGGAGCCATTTAATAGACCTTTCCATAATACGTAGAACAGAGTTGGAAAATATGAACTGAGTTGGTCTGAGAGATAAACAGGTATATTTCATGCGCCACTTGTGTGCAGCTTTAAAAGATGCGCAAACGTTAGTGGGAGAGAGAAAGGGCAAGAGAGGGCACATCGAAGCATTTTGTTCCTCGGAGTATATTTTTTATTACTCTGAGTTTTGTTCTGTGATGTTGTCCATCCTGGTTTGGAACAGTGTTGTCAACCGTAGCAGAATTCCGTTACCATAGCAGAATTTACACGACGGTAGTGGCGTAGCGGATTTGAACTTAAAGTAGTTGAATTTTCTACAAATAACTGATATGGAAAAAAATATTGAAGAAAAAAAGGCAGTAGACAACACCCGAAGCTGACAGCTGACAATTGAATGCACAGTCAATACAGAGTTGGCAACCGTAGCGGAATTCCGCTATCGTAGCGGTCGAGACGACAGCTTTTAAAAAATTAACTGCTGTAACATTACACGATGAAAAAAGCGTTTTGAATATTTATAATTTATATTCAAATATTTTGAAAGAAAATGTGTCGAGTATTATACATTATATGGAACAAATTACAGTGGAAATGAAAGATGAAGATAGTTTATTCGATTATAGCTCAAGCGAAGAGCTACCGCAGGATTTATTTTTACTCATAAAACAAATAAGTATATACGTATTCTTTTGATCTCTTATAAGTACCTGATCATAATAAAATTGTGATGTGATGCAGTTTGTTCAGTTTTCGTTGATTTTGGGGTAATGCTCTTCTGTGATGAATCTAATTCCAACATGAGATTGAATCAACAACATTAGAACATTTAAGAGAGAATATCATGAGGCATTGCAGAGAAACCACTCCCGAGATTCTCAACCATGTGAGGCCGGCAATGGAAGCTTGTTTGTACCATTGTATGGAAGTTATTGGAAACATTTTTGAACATTTACTATAGAAAATTTTTTTCTTCTCATTGTCCAGTCATCAGATTTTGATTCAA